TCTTTGGAGTCGCAGGGCAGAGTAGGCTTGTTGGGAGTCTTTGGTCGGGCAGCGATTGTGTTTAGCTCTTTCGAGGCTGCCTCGAAACACCTTTTCGCTACTTCGAGGTCTTCGTGCAGGGTGGCAACAAACCCCTTGGAAGTGTAATACTTCATTTTCAGGTGCACGGTAGATATTACAACTACCAGTTCGGCCATAGTGGGTCGTCCGAAGATGCATTGGTAGAGGGATGGGCAGTCAATGACCAGGAACTGGACTTTGATGGACCTGGCCATTTTTGTTACCCCGCATGTGACGATCAGCTCCACGTACCCCCACGGGTTTGTGACTGACCCGTTAAAGTCTTGCAGGTCAGAGCCTGTGTAGGGCGTCAGATGGGTTTCGATTAGCTGAAGAGTGGAGAATAGCTTGGAATACATGATGTCAACCAAGCTTCCTTGGTCGACCAGAATGCACTGAACGTCAAAGTTGACCATTTGCGCTCTTACGTGCAGAGAAATGCTGGAGTTGGGAGCTCTGCCGAAGAGTTCTTCGCGGTAAAAGGTGACGGGGACCGACTCTCCTCAGACCTTGTCAAGTGTAGAACTCTGGCTCGAACTTGTGTTGATGAAATGCTCGAACTTCCTCTTGACGGATCCCATGATCACCTTGTTGAATCCCTCTTCTGAGATGACCATGACGGAGGGGAAGGTTTCCTATGGGCTGTATGTGGCGAAATAAGGAGGGATGTTGAGCCCCTTGGGGACGTAGAAATATTCCAGTCGTGAGATGCTCATGGTAACTTGAAGACTGGTCTCGTCCGAGGAAGGCACCGCCACCTCGACCTTCTTTGACTCCTGGGCGTCCTACTGAGGAACATTCTTCTTCTTAGAGAATTGTCTCAGGTGCCCGTCCCTGATCAAGATCTCAATTGCATCCTTCAAATGGACGCAATCATCGGTCATGTGGTCGTGGCTCTTATGGAACCGAAAATACTTCTCTTATCTTTGTTTGACTTGGGCGATATCTGTTTTGGAAAACAGACCCCTGTTTGCCCGAACTTTGACTTTGCGCACTCAGAGAGAATCTTCTCGCGAGAGACGGTCAGTGGAGTGTATTTGTGGAATCGGCCAGATGACCCTTTATGGTCCCGGGATTCCCGGGGGTGATTGTCTTTTTTTCTCTTGGCTCCCCGACAAGATGTTGAGGCTTCGTCGTGCTTTGAGGACCTGGAGTTCTCCCGGTGTCTAGAGTTCTTAGCGGTGTTGGCTGCTTCCCTTTCTTCATACTGGATGTATGACTGGGTCTTGAAGAGGAGGGCATCCAGTGTTGCAGGGGTTTCGATGCCAACGGTCTTAGCAAACTCAGTGCGGGGACGGAGCCCGCGCTCGAGTAAGTACTTCTCCATATTCACGGTCATGAAGACCTGAACGACTTCTTTGTTGAACCTTTCGATATAAGTTTGAAGAGGTTCGTCTTTCCCTTGAATTATGGACTCAAGAGAGGCTTTTGTCTTTGGGTGGCGACGAGAGACTGTGAAATTCTTGGAGAACATCTTTCTTAACTGCCTCCAAGATGTGATGGACTCAAAGGGGAAACTCTTGTACCATGACATGAATCCCTTCCTTAGTGTGGTTGGGACCAATCTGTATTTGATGGCGCCTCGAATGCTACAATAATCGAGCAAGGCATCAATGTTCTCGACGTGTTCGTCATGATCTGTAGTGCCATCGTACATGCCCAAGGGTGAGGGTTTCTCCAGCCCTTTTAGTAGACGCATGGCCATTATTTCTTGAGACAACGGTCCACGAAGCTCATTGTCGTTGCTGCTACTAGACTGTGAATGAGAGCGGGTACTTCGTTCGAGGAGAGAACCGCGATCTTTGCGGGGAGATGGAGTTCAGGCTCGGCCTTTGGATCTGGGCGAACACTGACGCTCTGTCTGTAGATCCCTTCTGGTCCTATCGGCCTCTAGGGAGTGCTGGCTCCGAGGAGAGGTATGGTCGCGCTTTCTCATGGCCAGAGAGCTTGGCTCTGCTAGTGCTCGGTGGTCTCTTCCTCGTCCGGGAGAATAACTCTAAGATCTCCGATGCTCTCTTTTTGGCGGAGGAGATCTTGGTCGATGAGACTATTCTAAGGCTCCAATTCTTGCGTTTTGCTGGAGGATCAGAAGGTTTGTCTCGTTGAGGGCCTCGAGTAAGGCCGCCATGGCCGGATCGGCGTTAGGCGGAACTGGGACGCGCTGATGGTCCTTAGAGGGATGGATATCAACGTTGTCAGTATGATCGGGGGAAGGAGACGCTGTGGCTCCATCTCTCTACTGATGGGTGTTACTCCCGAGAAAAGGGGTTGCTCTGTCAGCGTCTGTCTTGCTGACGGGGAGGATGACATTGCGAGCATTGTGGACATTGTCATGGGTAGCCATGATTATAATCTTGAAAGAACTGTTTTGGTCTTAAATTTACGAGGAAAGAAAGATGGGGAGAACATAGTTTCCCACATACGGCACCGCTGATCTTGACGGCTGATGAGAACTTGGAGTAGATCAGAGACTTTGTCTGCGATGCTAGATTTCAATGACGGGGATGGGGTGTATCTGTAAGGTACTCCGATACTAAAGTAAGAATCGGGAAAAGAGAAGGAAAATATAAAGTGAGTATGTCTTAGGATGATTTAGAAAATCTGACCCTCTTAAATGAGAGGGTTTTTTATAATTCCCCCATTGCTTGGCCATTGGTTCCTATTTTTGAGTCGAGATATTCGCTCCCAATGAATAGGTAACTGCCAGAGACTATCCGTTGGGACAAACATAGGTGCTCGGAACTAACTGTTACCGCAGGCACGAGCGTCAGAACAAATATGTTTGTGGTATTCCTAAATAATTCATATTTCATTTCTAGTCCTTTGAAAAATTTCCTTCAATGAATGATCCTTCTAAAAAAATTTCATCCACACTTTTGATACCACTTGCTAAAGTTGTTGCTAATTCAGTCACCAAGTAGTAAACCGTCATTAAAATTGTTGCTAATTGTGTCGTTAAGTTGTAAAAACCGTCGCTATGTTGAAGGAGGAATCAAAAGTGTGGATGCAAACTATGTTGAAGGAGGAATCAAAAGTGTGGATGCAAACTTTTACGAGGAAGATTCTTTAAAAGATGTTTTTTTGAGAGACTAAAAATAAAATATGAAATATTTAGGAGAACTATGCACATATTTAACTCTTTTTAATATAAAAAAGTTGATAGAAGACTCTAGTTTTTTTACTTTTTAATTTTGTTTTGATTTTTAATTTCTTCAAAAATTTATGAGAAAAGAACGTGAAATGCAAGATATAGGAGTGTGAATAATAGTGCCAACAAAAAGTTTCAGAAAAGAAATAGAAATCCAGTTATCAAAATAACAAGGAAATTTTACCCCATACCCTTACAATTATATCCATACCCCTACATAAAATTTTTTAGACCAAAATACTCTCGTATAAAAATTTATAATTTTTTTCATTTGTTCACCGGAAGACTTTTTCCAAGTCTTCCGGTTCATATTTTTTCTTTTGTTCACCGGAAGACTTTTTGGAAGTCTTCCGGTTCACTTTTTTTCGTTTGTTCACCGGAAGACTCATGTTTTTTTTTTTTAATTTTTAAATTTTAAAATAAATTATTGACATCATGTGTCATTTTTCTCTCTCCCATTCATCTTTTATTTTATATTAAAAATTCATTATTGAACATCAATTCATTTTTTCTTCTCAATAAATTCAGATTTTTGCCTTAAATATATAGTTTCCATATACTGATAATTTAAATTAGAATAAAAATATTATTAATAAAATAGTTGAGACAAGTGAGTAAAAAACAAATACATCATAACCTTTTTCATTATTTGCTTGTTGGGACTATATTATTATTATTATTATTATCAATATTATTAAGTTTTTTATTATTGTAATTAATTAATATATATATATATATATATATATATATATATATATATATATATATATATATATATATATATATATATATATATATATATATATATATATATATATATATATATATATATATATATATAATAGTTATTTTTATGTAATAAAATAAGAATGAATCTAAACTATTAAATTTTAAAATTAATTATTGACATTATGTGTTTTTTTTTCCTCCATCATTTATTTTATATTAAAAAATTTATTATTGGACATCAATTCATTTTTTACTTGTTCAATGAATTCAGATTTTTTTCTTAAATATATAGTTTTCAAATACTGATAATTTAAAGAATGATTAATATATGTTTCGGTCAATATTTGAATCCAGAAATTTAAAATAATTCTTTGATATTGGATTAAATAAAATTAAATGACTAACAACTATAATTGTATATTATATATTCTACTTTTGATTTGAATTCATGAATAGAATTAAAAAACCAACGTTAAGATGATTAAAAATATTATAATATTTGACAATATTATAAATATTAATTTTAATTTTTAATAAATTATATGATAGGATAGTAAATAAAAAAAATTATAATTGACAATATTAAAAATAAAAAAAAATATGAATCGGAAGACTTGTAAAAGGTCTTCCGGTGAACAAACAAAAAAATATGAATCGGAAGACTTGCAAAAAAGTCTTCCAGTGAAAAAAAAATGTCTTCCGGTGAACAAATGAAAAAAATTATAAATTTTTATACGAGAGTATTTTAATCCAAAAAATATTAATATAAGGGTATGAATATAATTGTAGGAGTATTAAATAAAATTTCCAAATAATAATACAAGAACTATGGGCCTGTTCCGGGCCAGGCTCAAAACATCAATATTAATAGAGAGTGTTAGATTTTTTTCATGAGCTGGCAGTATAGTGTAGGGTTTAATAGCAGCCACCACCCTTCACTTATTGTTTCTCTTTCACATAAGCCGAAACCCTTCGCCGTTTTTCTTTTGATATGCTCTGTTTTCTCTTTAACACTTTTCACATTCAATTCCCTAATTGAAGAACCTTCTATTGAATCAATCCAATGGCGGAGGGTATAATCGCCGAAGCCGAAAAGCAAAAACAATACGATCCGTTTCAGAGAAAAATCGATTTCGTACCTGTTAAAAGACCCTTCCAAGGCTTTTCCAATGATTTTAACATCGAAACCCTAAACCCTACCACCTCCGATCATTCACAATCAGCTCCTAAGAAACACGATGGCTCTGAATTCTCTGAGTGTGGTTTGGATCCTGAGTTCAGCTTCGGAATTACCTCTCGCAGAATAGTAAGAGATTATTGTGCATTTTGAAAATTTGAGATGCTAATTTGTTTGAGATTGTTTTGGAATGGTGGAATTTGAATTGATAGTTTTTTTTGAGATTTAGGATTTATTAGCATGTAATTGAAAATTTTCAGGGAGCTGGACTACATAATCTTGGAAACACTTGTTTTCTCAATTCAGTTTTGCAGTGTTTGACGTATACTGAGCCTTTAGCTGCTTATCTGCAAAGTGGCAATCATCAAAGTTCATGTGAGCTATACATTTACTTCTGTGTCACTTGCTATATTACGTTTGATGGTTGTATTTTGTTAATGATTTGTGTTTGTTTTGATGTATTTGTTTGTTTAAAATAATTGAATTTTTGGTTTTGTAATTTTGCTTTATTGGTATGGAATTATTCATATGGATGACTAGAGGAAACTTCTTTTACAGAATTTCTAATTTTAATTTGGGATTTTTTTATAGGCCGCATTGCTGGGTTTTGTGCTCTTTGTGCGATACAGAATCATGTTAGTAGGGCACTGCAATCAACTGGAAAAATATTATCACCAGCGAATTTGGTTGTAAACCTGCGGTGTATCCTTAAGTTTGTGCTTTTTTAATGAGTGATTAATGTTAGTTTATGTTTTATCTTTTTGTTTTTGAAACTTGACAAGAACTTGGCTATATTTCTATAATAATATTATTTCTTGCTTTCTTATCTATCAGGATGGCTGGTATGGAAAATTGTTTTCGTTGGAATTGTATTCCCTTGAACTAATGTTTTTTTAACCACAAAAGTCAACATTATTGGGCCCGAAGATCTTAGTATTTGATAATTTTAGTACCCATGTATCTTGTTTAGAGACAAGGCTAGAACCAACTTCTTAACTTATATTTAACAAAACACTAGGTTTGTTCGTATGTATCTTTTTGGGAGTTTCCATATTGCTGATTATCAGCTTTTACAAACAAGGGAAAAGAATGAAAAAATTCATCACATAATTTTATAGCTTATATGGGTTATGCAGCTAATACAGTTGTTGATACTTTTCTCGAAAATCCGGCTACAATATATAGAACCAAACTTTAACATGCTTGACTTTGTTAGCTAAGGTGTAAGAATGTCTCAAGTGTCACTATAAGGTCTTAGTTTTTTTTTTCTGAAGTGTTGTCCCCTGACACCACCCTGATTTTTTAAGATGCATTTCCTATTTGATTAGTTGTACTTCCTGACATAAGATTAGCCATATCACGCAATTTCCGAAAATGTAGGCAAGAGGATGCACATGAGTATATGGTGAACTTACTTGAATCAATGCATAAATGCTGCCTACCTTCTGGTGTGCCGAGCGAATCACCTGGTGCTTTTGATAAAAGTTTTGTTCATAAGATCTTTGGTGGTCGTCTACGAAGTCAGGTACTTGTTTCTTGATCCTGTAGGATTAGTATGAGAAATAGTATTACCAACCAAGGTTTCTAGGTGGATATGTTGATATTTAAGGCATAAACTGGGAATCTTAATAGAAGCAGAGTATCTTTTGACTTGATAGTATGAAAACCGCTCAAAAGCAGTGTTATCAAATATCCATAATTGCAGTGCTATGGCAGATATACATGGCGGTCTTTAGGCTCGCCACACTGGTAAATATTGGCCGATATTACTGGTTATTCAGTCATAATATGCTATAACGGCGCCACAAAGCGTCTGGTATGGCGGGATTTTCGCTCTCCCCCATGGACCGCATTCGCCATGGACAACACTGCTCAAAAGTTTTTTGGGTGCTTTTTTCAGGTGAAGTGCATGCAGTGTTCTCATTCCTCCAACAAGTTTGATCCATTTTTGGATTTAAGTCTCGAAATACTCAAGGCAGATTCTCTTCAAAAGGCACTTGCAAATTTCACAGCTGCCGAACTTTTGGATGGAGGGGAGAAGCAATATCAATGTCAACATTGCAAGCAGAAAGTGAAGGCTCTCAAACAGCTAACAATTAATAAGGCACCTAATGTGCTAGCAGTTCATCTAAAGAGATTCTACGCACATGACCCTAACCTAAAGATTAAAAAGAATGTTCGGTTTGGCACTGCACTGGATTTAGAACCTTATGTCAGTGGCTCTCATGTAAGCAATGGTCTATTTTTAGTTATTTATCGCATAATGATATGGTTATGAGTTGTTTCACTTATTACTTTCACGTTTCTCTTGTTGACAGGATGGTGGTGTGCATTACTCATTGTATGGGGTCCTGGTTCATTCTGGTTATACCACTCATTCTGGCCACTATTACTGCTATGTTCGCACTTCGAATAACATGTGGTATACCTTGGATGATAATTGGGTACTGAAAATGTCAATATCCTTTGATCCTTATAGTCTTGTGAATTGTGTGATTATTGACATTAATTTGATTAATAGATATACCTGGAAATGATCAATTTGTGTTATCTGGTTGGGGCTACTATCTTTTCTGGAACCCTTCATAGTCTATTCCTAATGGCTGATCGTTACCCTCATAGAGTTTGACATTATTGTTGGGCCAATGTTTGGTTTTTGAAAAATTAGGAGTTATTGGCCCTTTTGACTGATTTTTATGGCTCACTAGAAATCACAATCCCTTCCAATAACTTGAATATACGCATAAGGTATGGGAAGTGCTTTGATGTACATAAATCTGATGAATTATATTTCAGATGTACATAAATCTGAGAATTATATTTCACGGATTCCTTAGATAACTTGTGAGTTATTGTATTGGTAAGTGTTCTTTGAAGGAATAGTTTCTTCCCATATCTGATGATATTTCAGATGTACATAAATCTGATGAATTATATTTCACGGATTCCTTAGATAACTTGTGAATTATTGTGTTGATAAGTGTTCTCTGAAGGAATAGTTTCTTAAAGCCAGATGCTAGGTGTCCTTTTTTCTGCTGCGTTATTATATTAATTAATCTTTTTAACCTCAATTTTAATGTTGTAAACAGGTCAAACATGCCAGTGAACGTGAAGTTCTAAATCAGCAAGCTTACATGTTGTTTTATGTTCGTGATAGAAAAAGTATAGCTCCAAAGAAGCCTGATGTCATTGCTAAGGAGGAGAATGTGACGACAAATGTTATTGGAAATAGATGCCCTTTAACTTCTAACGATGCATTGAATGATTATCCAAATGGTCAGGTGGAAAATATGTTCTGTGGCGATTCTTCTTTGACTGCTGATACTCAGAAAAATTTGATAAATGTTGATTCATCAAGGGTTTCATGTGAGAACGATGCTCTGGTTCAGCAAAAAGATAGTGACATTTTAGTAGAAAACTTAATGAACAGCAAGACCCCTGTATCTGAACTTACTTCCAAGGAACAGACTCAGAAAACCTCATCAGATGAGCCCTCAGTTGCTATATCAGAACTTGAATGTTTGTCATCTTTAGATCACTCTAGAAAAGACAATGACCCTTGTATTCAGAAAAGTTTAGATGCACCAGTTGTTGACAGACCTAATCAGTTCAACGAGAATGCTATTTCTAAAGTGTGTGTAGATTCTCCCACAATAGAGCCAACTGTGAGTAGTCCCCTAAATTTTCCTGGTAGACCTGCTAGTGACAAAACATCCCAGTCTCAGGAGGTACGTGATTCAAAACATTCTCAGCATCTTCTTTGGAACAGACTGGTTCTATTCAGTTTTCTGGATTACTTATCTGTTAATTCTTTACCAGAAAAATTCCCCCTCTGAAGCTGATGCTGTTGCTGCCCAAGACTCTGTCACAAATTTTTCTGAGAGCAATGGCCTTGTAATTTCAGTAACTCAACCAAATTTGTTCATCATATACCCTCTTCGCCCATACTTGGGGCCTTTTCTTTTGGTGTATTGACTGGCCCTACTTTTCTTTTTTGTAGGTTGGAACTTCAAATGGATCGGTGAATGAGAAAGCATGCAGTATATTGTGTGAGAATGCAGTTGTTTCTCAGGGACTGGTTCTTAAAGATTCATCCAATGTATCCTCGAGGGACTTGAGTCTTGATCAAAAGCAAGTGAAAAAATCAAAAAAGAAGTTTCCGAAGTACCAGGGGTCAAACTTGCAACTGCGCCCAATCATCCATTTCATTGCAAATCTAGGCCTGCGTAGGAAGAATCACAAAAAAAGTAAACGCCGCTTGTTGGGTATGAAGCATTGTAGTAAAGAAAAGCAGAATAAACATGCCATATTATCAGAAGTTGGACCATCTACATCTGGAAAAACACATTTACTTCCGTCTTCTGAAAGTAAACCAACTAAGCCTTCGCATATACCTGTAGATAACATTAAATCTAATGATGCACCTCTGATGGAAAATAATGCTGAAGGAGAGTTTAAGAAGAGGATGGATCAGAACTTTGGTGTGCTTGCATCAGTTGCGAAAGTAGAAAATATGTCCCAGTGTTTAGTGGCAAATGAATTTAAGGCTGGACAATCTTTTAGTCTACAGGATGATACAGGAGATCAAATGCATAATAGTGTCATGAGAATGCTCACTCGAGGTCTAGAGGAGACAGTTGGTATGTCTCTATTGACATTTTCCATTTAGATTTGTTTGGCACAACACTAAGTTTGTGTTCCACATCTTCGTAGTTTTATTTGTTAGTTCTAGTCTGGCTGATGGAGCTGCATACTCCCTCCGTTCCATACTATAAGCAAATTTTATTTTTTAAGATATATTGAATAATTAATGTATCTGGTATATATCTAGACCAGATACATTAATTATTCAATGTATCTAGAATGTAAAATTTGCTTATAATATTGAACGGAGGGAGTAGTTAGTTGTTGGTGTGCCGTCTTGTGACATGACTTACATATTACAATTATCAGTTAAACACATCTTGCATATTTAGCGGGTTTATCTATTTCATTCAACTTGGCCTGAAAATATTACTCCCTCTGGTCTATTCATAAGAAAAAGTTCACTTTTTAGATCAATGTATCTAAAAAGTAAACTTTTTCTTATAAATAGGACCGGAGGTATTAGCATAGTGGGTTTTTCAAATACTTGTTATATATTTCAGGATGTTTCTGTATTCCATAGTCAGTCTGTATGTATTGCATAATAATGCTAATTGACTAATCCTTTGGGTTAAAATGGTGGGTAAAGTGGTGCCATTCACACTGCACTACACTAATTATAGTTGTCTTGTGCCATCAATATGTTGTCCGGGTTTTGTTGCATGTAGTTGTACATATACACACTAAATAGATACTCTAAATTGAAAATGCTTGGTATATCAACCCTTCATTTCATTAAACTAGCTTTGTTATCTTATGTTTTCATATTGTATTATCTTATGTTATCTTATGTTTTCTATGTGTGGTATTTAACATGTATTCTCATTGGATACAGTTGCTAGTTGGGATGATATGGAATTACCTTCATGTCAGCCTTTGGAGTCAAAGAGTGGCCAGATTGCTCATATCGGATATGTTGGGGATGAATGGTGAGCTTAATATATATGGTTCCTTTCTTGTTTACTATGGAAGTAATTTGGCCTGTTTTAGTTTTTGTGCATTCCTTTGTTGGTACCAATTAAATGCCTGAATAATTTTTGAAGTCAATGGCGTGAAAGTTATTTATTCTTTCAGGAGAGATTTTGTAAATATTTATTTCCCCCTTGTTTTATATTAAATGTTTTCAAACATTTGTTTGTCTTAAAAGGGGTATTTTCTTTTACTCAACTTTTTGTGAAGATAATAAGAGCTTGAATTGTACATAGGCTTATTTCATGTCCAAATATGTAGTGATTGCTTTTTTTTGTAGAATGTTGGCTTGTAGATTCACTTTCTACTAGTGTTGTCAAATATTGGACATGGTGGATATTGGTGGCAGGATTTAGGTCTCTGTTGTGGCCAGATGGTGCCGTATGGCGGCGCCATGTGCCAGTTGTTATTGGGGGGTTTCGGCTTCGGTTATCCCCCATGGACTGCCATCTGCTGTTGATAACACTGGTTATTACTAATCAAGTCCTTTAGGCGACTGTTTGAACAGTCGGCAGGTTTTTGTCCAGATACAGAATAAAATATGCATTTCATGTTATTACGCCCTTCTAAAATATGCATTTCATGTTATTATGCCCTTCTAAAATATGCATTTCATGTTATTATGCCCTTCTAAAATGTGCATTTCATGTTACTATGCCCTTCTAAAATATACATTTCATGTTATTATGCCCTTCTAAAATATGCATTTCATTGCTATTAACTTGGAGCTGTTTGTAGCAATGTATCAGATGGTGTGACTAGAGTATTTTGATGAATAACTGCGTATATTTATTAATTTGTATCTTTCCACCTAAAATTTTACAGGGATGAGGATTATGATTCGGGGAGGAGGAAGAAGGTAAGAGGTTTGAAGGAGAGATTTGAAGGGCCCAATATTTTCCAACAAGTTGCTAACGAGAAATATAACAGAAGGCCAAAGCTGACGCATTTTAGCGCCAAGAACTCTAGTAAAAGAGCAAAATTGAACCATTCTAGTTCAGAGAAATCTAATAAAAGGGCAAAATCGAACCATTCTAGCTCGGGGAACCTTCCATTTAGGATATAACTTCAAAATACCTTTCTATTGTGTCTGGTGTTCTTGTAGCAATCATTGATTTGTGAAACACTGAAAATGTAGTGAAGAGAACACCTACCTTATTCTTTATTCCAGTACAAATTTTGTTGGCTGCGTCATATTGTATTCAGGTCAAGATGCAGAGGTTTTAGTTAATTTTATTTTATGAACCCTGGTTTTCCCAAAGGGCATTTTTCATTTCATGGTTCAGACTATGCTCGAGAAGCGAAAGTTAAACCTTTATGTATTTCTCTTGTAATGGCTTCATACTATAGCTCAAATTTTGTTCATGAATATTATAACCTTTGCGTAATGTTAACTCTGAAGTTTATATTTTGTTTATGGTGGAGTATTATTAGGTGTTAAATAGAAACGTTGAAGTTGTGCTTTTCATTTAAAGACGAGTATGTTGACTTGAATCCTGCATATGATTCATTTATGAGTAGAACAGTGATTTTATTACACTGTCCTAAGGAATTTAAAGCTGTCTGACATGGAGCAAATACGGGCTCAAATGTTAGTCTCAGGGGCGTTGACTTTCCAATAGCACATACTACTAGTTTCCTCGTCAGTACACCTATCTGGCATGATCATTTAATGTCAGCTTCAATTCCAACCGTCATATGTTTTTAAGCGCGTATCATGTAGTGAGCTTATGTTCATTGGTTGATTTCATTTTTTGTTTTAATTTCTTGAATAGTCCTTTTATTGATTTTTCTTAAGCAACAACATTTTTCTAAGTTAAAATAAAAAAGTATATTAAAAATCACATTGAAACTAGCGGTATTATAACACAAATAACATTTAAGTTGGGAAAATAATATCACAAATAACAATCAAGTTGGGAGAAAATACAAATAACAATCAAGTTGGGAAAATTGTTTTATCTGCTAACATATGCAATCTTGTATGAGAAAGAATGGTTGTGAAGAATAAATACATGATAAAGTAAATGTAGTAGAGATGATGATGTTTATTGTACGTATGATAAAATTAAATGAAATAATATTAAAAATGATAATATTAGAGAGAATTACGTAATAGAAAGATTGTTGAAATTAATTTAGGTGATTTGGACATGAAATGATATAACTTGTGGGTTATGCTATAATGAGAATAGATGAAGAGTTATAAAATTATAGGAAAAATTAATAAGAACTATCTTTAGATTAACAAATTGGATAAAACATGATCTTTGATACAATATTATAGCATAATTTGATTCTTGCAGTTGATTTTATTTAATGGGGTAATACATTATTGTTGGTGTCGAAGTTAAAATGAGCAGAAAATGTATACTTAGAGGAAGATTAATCTAAGTTTAAATTTTAACTTTAAAAGATGTTTATATATATTAGTCAAATGTTGTTTGAATCTGATTAGATGAAATTACACTCACCTTCTGTTTCATGTTGGACAAAGGTCTAGGAATCTAGTGCTCCACATCAACCAAACACTCAATAGCATAAGACTCATTTATTATATCCGTTCTATCCAATCCAAAGGGTTTTCAGGTACACAATCTTTGATATCCACTTTCATTACGATTATGTCAAACTCTAAACTGATTTGAGCGTTGGAGTGCAAACCATGCAAGTACCCCATAGATCTACTGTATCAGAGATTAACAACGTCGATTCAAGATCGACGCCAATCAACAATGATGAATCAAGATCAACACTCCCGATTCAAGGAGCATCGTGATTGCAACCTTCTACCTACGGTGTCACATCACAAAATCGCTGACGAAGCTTCATTCCACTACAATTTCCGTGATTTCCTCCATTTCTGGTTTTGCAACGAAACATTGACGTCGTTTGTAGGAAATGGCTTCCGATTCTTGTGATTTCCATGATTTCGCGTTCGATCTTCATATTTGAAATCAAAAAGCATATCCGTGAAATAATCCAAGCCTTACTAAGTCAGACTTGTAGATCTAAGGGGTTTCGATCAATAAAAACCTCAGCTCGAACTCTAGTTCACCAAAGACCTCACTGAACTTTTCACTTCTGCGGGGATTCACAAACAAAAATTTCCCGATTTGAAAAAGACCCGATCATATACGTGTCAAGGCTGAGCAACATCGTAAAAAATTCACACCGATCTCAGGGAAACTTATATGTAAAGGGTTCCAGAGCTACCTGGAGCCAGGCATCTCATCATCGTAATTGCCTTATGTAGGGCATCTCACCATCGTATCTATCCAATTCCGGTCCGTTCCAATTATGCGGTGACCGAGGTCGTTCCCATATCGGGATGGTTAAGGAGTTACATGGCGACCGACATCTTATGAGACCACTCATTGGGGTGTACGATAGACGCCAACTAGAGGTAAATCAGGGGATAAAATTACCCACTGAGGATCGCCCATCGATCATATCCTCCTTCCAAACCCCCGATGTTTTTCCAAAGGAAGGTCTACAAGGACAACCGTGGTGTCGGCCGAGGAGAAGGACAATTTGCCCGGAACGGGCATCCCAAGCACAACTACCAGGAGATTCTACGTGAGATGAACCCGAAAATGAACCGAGGATCCGTCGGCCACCGCAAAGGCCAATCAGAACCCCAAGCCCCCGGAGTTCGACCATATATCCGAGCATCCCGAATGTACCAAAAACCCTTTGAGTCCAAGATGCCGATCCAATATGAATCCCAAGAAGCAGAGTCGGCCGCATCCATCAAGAATCAAACATCTTTCTAACTGGGCACACAGTCCTTCAGATCAATCGTGTAACGCCCGTTTTACTTCGATTAAATTCAATTATGACTTTGCTATGTCTCGTTGCGTCGTAGTCGTAGTTGAGTATGTGTTTGGAGCGAAGAAAGGAATTGAATCGGTCGAATTGTCGAAAAAATTCTGGTTTTGTCAGAAAACTTCGAAAATTCATATCTCTTGATCCGTAAGTCGGATTTGACCCCCGTTCAAAGTGTTGGAAAGCTAAAAAGATGTTATATCTGGAAAAGAATGAAATTTTGCTGCTATGACGACCGTCATAGGAGTGTGACGACCGTCACACGAGCGAAAACTGCAGTTATGCAGAATTTGAACGTGTTTTGGTGGAATGAGATTTTGTAGCATAAATATATTCCCGTGGACTCTTTTACCCTCAATTACATCATTTTTTTTGGGAAAGGAAAGACGGAAAAGAGAAGTTACACATTGAGAGAAGTGGAGAGCGAAGAATCATCCATCGGCGAATTCAGAAGATTTCTGCAGAAAAATCACCGTAGAGCAGAAGCGGAATCGGAAAGCGTGGAATTGGCCTCAATTCTAGGTAAGGGTGGGGTTTAATTCTATAACCGGGAGTATGATCGAATTCATGTGGGGAATCGAGTCATAAGTATAGTTTTCGTTAATCGATAAATATTAAGGAAAAGGTTTCCCTATTGGGACAAGATTTTATGTAGGAATGAATGTGTTATGTAGTTATTAGTGCGATGCTCTAAGGTTTTCCTTATGGGAAAATACGTAGAACGAATATGCTATATGTTTATTCGTACAACGCTCTAATGGTTTTCCCTAATTGGCCAAAAAGGACAGTTACCTGGTTGTGATTGATTTGTAATTAATTATGTGAGAAGATGCCGTAATGTTGTTATTACGATAAAATGTTAAAGATTAATTGTAGAACTGATGTTGATGTTATACCTGTATAGGAATAGCCGTTTTGTGTGAACACTTTGAATTCTTAATTGTTGATACGATGTTGTAATGTTCCTTTACATGAATAGTTGAGATGATGAACATATGATGCATATGAAATAACAATGTTCTGTTATGGACGTTTTGTTATAGGCTTGATGCCTTGTTGCATAGTAGGTGATGTTGTGGTCCATAATAGAGGTATTTCATGGCATAGCATATTAGCGATGGCCTGTATTGGCGGCCCTTGTGGCAAATTCTGCGATGACCTGTATTGGCGGCCCTTAGTGGCAAATTCTGCGATGGCCTGTATTGGCGGCCTTGATGGCAAATTGGTACCACATGCATATGCACAGTTGAGTCGCATTGTTGAGTCACATGAAGTTGCATAATTATGTTAGTTGTATATTAATGTTGTTTTACGTGAGATATGGATTGTTGCAGTTGTTGTCGATGATGTTTATGATTTCGAAACTTATAATGCTGTGATGAGTTTCTGGCATGTTTTCTATCATGCTCTATGTTATATTATTGATATCTCACCCTTTTCCGTTGTATGTTACCTCCTCTGGTGGTAATTTGCAGGTAGTCAAGAATAGAGCGTAGTTCCCGTTAAGGTGTCGTTGGTCGCTCTGATACGTAGCACTCTTGGGGGGATGGACGATTGCTGTTATTATTTTAGTCGATGTTATTGTTGATTGAACTTGTTACGATGTTTTTATTAAATTATTTTAAGAGAACATGTTGTATACTTTATCGAACTTCTACCGAAAGTAATGACGAGTTGTTTTATGATTAAATGGTTAGGTAATACATTGGTGATTGTTCATCTAATTTCGTGCTACGTATGATAATTGCAAGTTGTTGCATAATGATTGTTGTCTGTCAGGTTGAAGTGTAACATCTCTAATGTGAGGAATTTTGCCCGTGTGACGACCGTCACAGGCTTATGACGACCGTCATGCAGTCAAAGTTTGTGCTGCTGCACTTTGTTTGTTATATGAGTTGTTGTTTTTCCTGTTATCCGCAAGTGTTAGAGTTGGGGTATTACATTAGTGGTATCAGAGCAGGTCGGTCCGTCCGACCAAGTTGTCTAGTGCCGTCGAGTCTGTCGTCGAGTCAGTCGTCGTGCCTAACACTAGAGTCTCATCAATTATGAAATCTGACTATTGGTTGTTGCAGCTTAAGTGAAATGGCTGGGAGGAATGATGCTGCAATTGCTGCTGCTCTGCAAGCTTTAGCTAATGCTATGGAACATCAGCGGAATCCTGCTGGAGATGCTGGGTCTCGCAGTTTGGCAACGTTTCAACGGGAGAATCCGCCTACCTTCAAGGGTAAGCATGATCCT